TCACACACAGCAAGGCGACAACAGTGTGAACACATGTAAAGGGGGAAACCTATCGATAGGAGGTGATGGGCTTAAAAGAACAAAGCGCAGTAAGGCACACACACACCCAGCACGGTGTGAAGCAGGACGTGACGGATCGAGTCTTCATGAGTGCTCTGATCCGCAGAGTCTTCTCTGCTTTGGAGAAACAGATACGTCATGGGGCCTCACAAAACCGTTCATGGTCTGGTGAAACTCAAACGTCCATCCATCTCCTTCCACTCTGGTTCCATGCTGGCCAAGGGAACCACTGACAATCAGAAGATGGGAACCTAGATGGTAAATACAAGTATTCTGGTGCCTAGAAAAGGATGATGCTGATTACATGTTAATAAACTGACTTCTGGTTTATACCTAAGCCCCATATGATTTTAATTTGTCTCATCCATATCAAGTATCTGATCATTCCTGAATGACTATGCAGTCTCTGGACTCGAGAGATTAAATGCCTAAACTATGGTGATCCAACCCAGAAGCTGCCCCATCATACCCAGGTGATACGAACACAGGAGCTGATAAAACAGACACACATAAAGCCTCCATTCCTCACACCCCTTACCTTTGCAACAAAATAATCCCACATACTAAGTTCTGGAGGAATAAATTTTTCTTTGTAAGATGGCCTTTCTGCAGGCACTGGTGGTGGGGTAGCATCCTTTACAGGCCTTCCAGGTACCAGCATCCGCATGTTAAACCTCCTGCGGTGTTTATCGATGTCTTCAGAAGGAACAGGAGGTGCTGAGTGAAGACAGGAAAAAACCTCACATTTAGTTTTCTATTATTAATTCAAAAAGTTAAGCTTTCTTTTCTCCCTACTCTTGCCATGTTTAGACTTCAGTCTTACTTACATCTGTCCATCTAAACTTTTTAGTTACTGCATCAGTTTTCCAGCAATTATGGCAGAGATGCAAATAGAGCATAAAAGAATAATATGCAGTGAAGCAGCCTATATGTTAGATAGAATACAGATCAAAGTAATTCTATGTACAACGTATTAAATAAATGGTATACTCAGTAAGTAATTAAGAGAGTGCCTGAGTGATTATTTCTGGCTATGTTGTTCAAGAAAGATTCACTGAGTAAACACGTGGGGTGTAAAGCATGCCTTAAAAGAAAAGCAGAAGCTCACTGTGAAACGAGGAAGGGACGTCAGAAATAAAGGACCAAAGGTTTGGTGAAATGAGGAGTAAACTGCTTTTGCTAGACAGGCTTCAGGGAGGGGCGTAACCACCACAGTCTGGAGTCAGGCTGGGACTAGCCTGTGGATGGAAGCCGGGAGCTTATCCTGAGAGCAACTGTCATGCAAGTGTCTTGAACTAGTCACATGATGAGGTATCGTTTGCACGATCAATTAGAGAGGAAGGTGGGACGATCTGACGTAAGAGCCTCAACTAGAATGGTGGGTGGTAAAGACAGAGAGGAAGAGTTAGATACGAGAAATACGTAAAAGAAATACCAAAAGGATTCTGCAACTAACCGGCTATGGGAGAGCCAGAGAGAAGTCAACCTGGTCCTCTCCTAAGACTCCCCATCATAAAAAATAGTAATTCTATCTCAACTTCTCTTTGATGGGTGTGACCACTTTTTACTCTGTCCATCACTAACACCCTAGGCTAAAACACTTTTATCTTTGTTTAATTGAGGTGAAATTTACATAACATTAACCATTTTAAAACTGTACACCTCAGCGGCATTTGGTACCTTCACACTGTTGTGCGACCACCACCTCCACAGCATCCTCACTGTCCCCAAAGGAAACCCCACACCCACAAAGCAGTCACTCCCCGGTCCTTCCTCCCTCTAACCCACGGCAACCGCCAATATGCTGCCTGTCCCTGTGGGTGGACTTACCCTCAACACTTCACATAAATGGGCCTGGCTTCTTTCACTCTGCATGCTGGTTATAGCATGTGTTAGCACTTCATTCCTTTTTATAGCTGAAGTACACTCCATTGTACGTTTATACCACATTGTGTTCATTTTCTTTTAATTGAAGTACAATCAATTACAATGTGTCATAAATCTTAGCAACGTTCTCCTAGGGCAGTCTACCCATTCATTCTTGATGGTAACCCACAAGATCTTTTAAGTGGGCTATTTCAAGAGCCTCCCGAACGGGGACCCTACTTTTCCTCTTTCACATGGTCTGTTCTCCACACAGTGCTACAGTGGGGCTTTTGAAAACCTAAATCAGATTCTATCATTCCTCTGCTTAAAACCCTCTAGTGGTTTCCTATTTTTCTTTAGAGCAACAATGACAGTTTTTACACGATCCATGAATCCCTAGCTGGCCTTGCCCCCAGTTACTTCCCTTGCCTCCTCTCTGCCCACACTACCCCGGCTTATGATGGCCATTCTGGCCTCCGCCGTAGTTCCTGGAAAGGGTCAGACTCAGTCCTGCCTCACGCCCTTTGCACTCCCTGCTCCATCTGCCTGAAATGCTCTGGCCCCAGTGCACAATCTGATCCTGACTTCCCTAGGACTCTGCTCAAATGCTGCTTAATCAGAAATGTGTCTTCTGGTCACCCTAACTCACTTGTTCCCTTCCCCTTTCCCTCATCATTTTCTTTCCATTCACTCTGTTTTATTTTTATCGTAGTTCTTATCACACCTGGAATATTATTTGTTAATTTGTTTGTTGTGTGTTTACCTCGACTGGATGTAAGCTTTATGAACACAAGGAATTTGTCTGTTGTGGTCACTCCCATATCCTCAAAGCCCAGAACACTGCCTGGCATACAGTAGGTGTAAGTGAATGCAACCCTGAATGGGTAACCCAGAGGTTTAAGCATCATGATGAATTACTGTGAAAAAATAATAGAAAACTCAGGAAGAGAAAAGAAGTGATTGGCCAGGGGTGGGGGATGACTTTCAAATTTATAGTGCACTACAATCAGGTAGGAAGATGAAGATTAACAGCCACCCACATGGAATGGGACTGGAAGCAATGGGGGTTGGTGAGATCGCCTCCCTCACTCTGACTTACGTGGGAACCTATTCATTTGATTCCCTCGTGGGCAGTGAGGACACAGGTTAGAACCTGTGCCATTTAAACTCTCTGTGCCACTGACCCCTCATCTGTAATCAGGCCACTTCTAAAGATGAATGAAGATCACTTCCGTGTTGCAGCACCACAGTGGGAAACTTCCCTATGCCATCAGTCTTCATCTTATCATCCTACCATCTTAAAAAGTGGGCTAAAAACTATACTCTAGTCTATAAGGGAAGAAAAAGTAAAGAAAAAGGAATAAAAAAAACCATGCGCGTGATTGCAACAGCCTTCTTGTCCAAGACCACAAACTTAATCAGAAGCCAGCTGCTGGGATGCTCTGTGATGATTATGAGGGTCTACTTAAACCTTGCTTCTCTAATTAAAAACTCTCCTTTCCCAGGACCTCACTCCTTAACACCGTCTCCTCGCTTACCTTCACCTTTCCTTTTTTCTTTTTTATCCTCCTCAAATTTGTCCTGGTTTATCAAAAAATGTTAAACTGTATTTTTATTGTAACATGAATTTAATTATTTACTATCCTAACAAGAGTGTTTATACTTTCAATATCACTGATTTTCAAAATAAAAATTTAACAAGAGTGTTTATACTTTCAGTATCACTGATTTTCAAAATAAAAATTCTTAAAACATTAAAAAAAACCTTTAACACTGGAAACTATTTACATTTACATACATTATTATCAAATTCACCTTACCCGAAACACTTTCTGATTGTCTCTGAGGTTTCACTACAAGTTTCACACCTCCTCCAAAAACAGCAGCCCACATCCGATTGTTTAACGGGTGGGCTGCAAGTCGAAACAATTCATTGGAGGAATTGGTGGCAAGAGCGTGTATCAGCAAACTTAAGTACACGGCAACAACAGCTTCACACAACAAAATGTTCAGTTTTGGCTGGTCTTCATCTTGGGCTGAACTGAGGAGGTTAACAAGTGAACTCACACCTGTTAGGGAATAGAACAAGAAGCCAGTCAGCATAACGCTCCGAAGGAAAAACATCCAAGTTTGCAATTTAAGCAAAATTATGTATCTATATATTATACAAAAAATATATATATGTATGTGTGTTTGTATATATGTATATGTATATGTGTGTGTATATATATATATATGTGTGTGTGTGTGCGTGTGTATATATACATACACACGCACACACAATATGAGCAACAAAATACATGACAGAATGCTTTATAGCCCATAGAATAAAATAAGAATTCACTGAGGTGTACTGATATAATAAAGAAATGAATAAATAAATGAAAGGGAGAGAAGAGAATGCTCTTCCTGAGACAACTTCAGCTAGGAAGTAGAAGGAATGATAGGAAACCACCGTCTAGTAACCCCCACAGTCACATGTGATTCAGGCCACGTCATCACTGGATGCTAAAATTAGGGGGTAAAAGTATTGTATTTCACACAGTCTCAAGCATTCTCTTCAAAAGATACTCGTTAATTGCAAAGGGAAAGAAAGCAACTTTATAAAGGAGAAATCTGGCAGAAACTACTGTCCAAAGTGATCAAAGCCAACGGCACCAGCAATGGGACCCAGTGGCGTCATGTGCCTCCTGACACTTTACAGTGAGAGGGCGCGATGCCTCCACTGTGGTGTCCCTAAGAGTACAAAACCTGAATCTAACGCTAAGAGGACATCAGAAAAACCCAACTGAAGGGACATTCTGAAAAATAACTGGCTAGTGCTCTTGACAAGTGTCATAGTCATGAGAGACACAGAAAGAAGGACTACGTATTAGAGGAGACACAAGACACAACACAAGTAAATGTTACACGGAAGACATTAGTGGGACAACAGGTGAAATTTTCAAAAAATCTATAGATGAGAGAACAGGATCGTATCAATATTAAGATGCTGAATTTGATAACTGCTATGGTTATGTAAGAGAATGTCTGTTTTTGAAAAGACAAACTGATATATTAAAATGTAAAGTTGCATCCTATCTGCAACTTACCCTCAACTACTTCAGAAGAAACTATGCAATATACACACAGACACACTAAGCGAGAGAGAGATGAAAAATGAATGATAAAATGTCAATGTTTGGGGAGTCTGGGGGAAGGTTACACACAAATTCTTTGTACCATTTTGTTGTTGTTGTTGTTGATTTTTTTTTGTACCATTTTTGAAACTTCTGTAAGTGAAATTATTTCAATAGGAAGTTAAAACAGAAACAATTATGTTTTGAGAAGCTGATACACAAATGAATTTTATTTGAGCCTGTCACTTCCTTCACTGCCACTCTTCACGATGACCATTAACATGTAACCTCGGAGTTATAAAGCAAGGAGAGTAAGAATTAAAGGACGTGGCAGACCAGGAAAGGCTAGTAAGAGAGTGAAGAAGGTCTGAAGTAATGATGTGGAGAATAAGGAAGAGCTACCCGGAGGAAGGGGAGAACTGGCAGGCACCAGGAACGAAGGGCCACGCCATGGTCACTCATACCTGACATACATCGATGCTCTTGAGAATAACTGTGTCCTGACACACCTGGGAGAGGAATCCCTGTGAGACTGGCTCTCTAAGACTCTAATTCAGAACGTCTAAGGTTAAGGAAGACAACGTGCTCACCCTTGTGAAGGATGTTTAAATCCTGTTTTTTTATGCTGGTCAACACAGCTGGTTTTTGAAGCCTTAAATTTCTGGGTCTTTAGACAACATTATAGTACATAAGAAATCCTAACCCGTGGCAGAAAACATCATCAAAAACAAACAAATAAAAACGTATTCACCAAATTCACAAACAACAACAATCAGGAAATTAGTCAGTAGCTGTTTAAAAAGGAGTGGACACACAGAAGGTTTAAAAAAAAAAAAAACTTAAATTCTCACCAGGCCATTGAGCAGGAGAGGAATTTGGTGTTGCGTGTTCTTCAATGCTTTCTGTCCTCAGTCTTCGACGATCACTTAAAAGAAGTCCTTGATAAGCCATTCCTGTAAACTGGTTTCCTTCTGTTTGACTGCTAAAACAATTAAGGTTCAGTTATGTATCATCCCCACAGAGGTAATAAGCAGTCGTACTTTCTACGCGTTCATTTTATTTATTTTAGATGACTGTAGTGAAAACAAAATGCTTAAAACTGAATTCACTATCCTAATAAAAAGTTATTTCAGAAAGTTCTTTAATAAATTAGTTATAAATATTTATTGATAGTTTTTTAAAACAAAATACCAGATTTTCTCCTTGGGCATGACACTGAGTCTCTGAAGTCTTTTCCAGATGCTGTAATACTTGAAAATCTTGTCTATATTCACTTATTATTATTTAAAAAAAAAAAGTCTGCCATAAGGAGACTTCTCCCAGTACTAGGATATATCAGACAGAAAATTTCAGGGTATTATTTTGTGGCATTTCTTAGTTGTGCAAAGTTGTGCAAGCTTAACATGGGATTAAAATATGAACTAAAAATCCGGAAAATCCGATTTTAGAAATACCTAATCCTAAAGCCAAAATGTGCCTAAATATTTACTTTCCTTATCTTTATGGAGTGAGGGAAATACAAAAGCAGAAAGTACAGCTGACTCCCTGAAGAGTTCATCACAGCCAAAGACCCAGAAAATAAACATTTAAACAAAATTCATTTGGATTCTCATTTGGCACCATTTTAACCAGTGACTGATATCAAACAAGTTGTCTTTGATCATTAAGATGACCACAGTCAACTAAATAAGCTCTTTTTTTTTCTAATCTACATTTCCAAGTTTTTGGAGTTACTTACACACATGACCTTACTAGGCTAATGTCAGAGTACAGGCCACTTTGAGAGAGTAATTCCTTATTCAATAATAAATCTTCCCACAAGAGGTTGCTGAATTTATAAGAAAATCTAGACGTATGTTTAATATAAATTTAATGTGATTCTATTTATATTACAAACTTTTCATTTACTAATATAATTCATTTAAATCTAGGTCACCTCTCTGATTCAATTTCTTACTACTTAAACTGCCCTAGTCATTAAAATGCAAAGTATACATTAATGAAGGTGATTAGACATTTACAAAAATTCAAAACATTACTTCCAACTGGTATCACTTCTTGAGACTTTTACATTACACAGAAATGGGTAAGTAAACCTGATTTTAATAATTCAATATTAGGAATGTACTTTGTCATTTTTCAAAAGTTTTTCCTCTTTCAAACTGAAAACCAAACAGAATCTGATGCTAAAAGGAATAGTTCCTAAGAGGGAAGAAAAATTAGAAAGCTTCACTGTTATAAATTATTTTGGATAGTGAACACCTCTTTTCTTAAAAAACAAAAAACATGGGGATGATCATTTTTCTTTATGATTGTCATTTCTATATGTCTCTGTTGTTACTAGGTGATAGCTTAACTAAACAAAGAATTATTTTATTTCTCATTCTCATCTATTAAAGTATACATGGCAGTCGTATTTCAGGACTTTTCAGTCCCTAGGAAACAGAACCTTAAAATAACTCTGGAACAGTTTAATGTTTTTGCTGTATAAATACTATTTTGGGTGATTTCTTTCTTTTTTTTTTTTTTTTTTTACCTGTAGCTGTGACTGTCACATAATGCTTGGTAAATTGACGCAGAAAGAGATGCTGCAAGTGAATGAAGTGTGTGCACCTAAAACCAAAACAGCCACAATTATATTGTGTACTAATATTCCTACATAACAGTAATATCTTAAAAATTGGAAAATACTCAGAAAACTAGTAATACCATAAATAAGACTAGATCCTCTGTGAGACTAACGCTGCCTTAAAACTTCTAAAATAACACTCACTCAATTTAATATGCATGCCCACAACAAAGCTAACTGATTCACACATATCTTTACCAAATATTTATTATTGTGAGCCGGCCATTCAGCAGGCCCTGAGCAAAGTGCCAGCATTCACAGTGCGGGGACTGTCCTGGCCTGCTAATGGTTAGCTTAAATATGAATACTCAAAAAAATCAGAACCAAAATAAGCACAGAATTTTCAGAGCTTTTATTAAACTCTTATGAAATTCCTCCTGATGAAAATAAAGACTTGCTCTTATCAATACGAATGAATTAAATATTTAGAAAATGTATCGATCACTGTGTAAAATGGTTAATTTTCCAGAAAGCAAATGATCTACTTAGTACTTAGAAGTAGCGTGGTCTTAGAATTTTAAATTCAGGAAGTTTAAAAATTATCACTATAATATAAAAATCATCCTAAAATGCCATACTGAATCAACATTTTGAGACTCATAAACTTTTAAAATGTGAAGGGATCCTTAGAAATAGTTTCATACTTTTTGAAAGCTTGTCCAAATTGCTGGGATGACTTTTAAATTACTTACAGCTTACATGCATTTAGTGCATTTTCTGCATTTCCATATCCACCTATCAAATAATTCAAGTAATCTCTGCTAAAATACTGACACAGGTTCATTCATGCTATGCTCTAATAGACTGATGTGACCAGTAAATCTTGGGTCCTTCAGAAGAATGTACTACCAGAAATCGAATGTGCCTTTCAAGCCAAAGAAAGAAAAAAATAAAACTGTTGGGGATCTGAAATGACATCAGCCACTGGAATTAGAAAAAGCATAGCACAGATACATGTAGGGAAGTCTGATCAACTCTCCAGATCCCGCCACACTCCCTAGCGATCCTTAGAATCTACCCACTGTTTCCAGCATAGGATATAGTTTTGTTGTTGTTTTGTCTGGGGCCAAATTGTTTTAATTGAAGTACGGTCAGTTACAATCTGTCAGTTTCTGGTGTACAGCACAATGTCCGAATCAGGATATAGTTTTAATGTGGGGCAGTAACTCTGCCAAAACTCTAATGGCCCCAAACCGACTGCACAGCCTGCAACAAAACACAATCATCGGGGAAACAGTAACGAGGGTACTTTCTCCGGAGCTATTTTTGATCAATCACGGCTCTCTCAAAGATATGCCCCAAACATATTTTCACAGTATCTTGCCATATAAGCAAATAGTTATAAATACTTCTACTTAATGATTCATTTAAGTGGAATGGAGAATCCAGAGGAATATTTGGCTTTAGAATACTGTCTAAAAAGTTAATTTCATTACCAAAAACAGTATTTGCACTTTTCAGTAAATGGTGTTGGGAAAACTAGACAGCAGCATGTAAATCAATGGAGCTAGAACACTCCCTTACACCATACACAAAAATAAACTCAAAATGGATTAAAGACTTAAACATAAGACAAGATACAATAAACCTCCTAGAAGAAAATATAGGCAAAACATTATCTGACATGCATCTCAAAAATGTTCTCCTAGGACAGTCTACTCAAGCAATAGAAATAAAAGCAAGAATAAACAAATGGGACCTAATGAAACTTACAAGCTTCTGCACAGCAAAGGAAACCATAAGTAAAACAAAACGACAACCTACGGAATGGGAGAAAATTTTTGCAAATGAAACCAACAAAGGCTTGATCACCAGAATATATAAGCAGCTCATACGGCTTAATAAGAAAAAAATACAAACAACCCAACCCAAAAATGGGCAGAAGACCTAAACAAGCAATTCTCCAAGGAAAAAATACAAATGATCAATAGGCACATGAAAAAATGTTCAATATCACTAATTATCAGAAAATGCAAATCAAAATGACAATGAGGTATCACCTCACACCAGTCAGAATGGCCATCATTCAAAAATCCACAAATGACAAATGCTGGAGAGGCTGTGGAGAAAAGGGAACCCTCTTACACTGCTGGTGGGAATGCAGATTGATACAGCCACTGTGGAAAACAGTATGGAGATTCCTCAAAAGACTAGGAATAGACTTACCATATGACCCAGGAATCCCACTCCTGGCACATATCCAGAAGGACCCCTACTTCAAAAAGACACCTGTACCCCAGTGTTCATAGCAGCACTATTTACAATAGCCAAGACATGGAAACAGCCTAAATGTCCATTAACAGATGACTGGATAAAGAAGCTGTGGTATATTTATATGATGGAATACTACTCAGCCATAAAAACCGACAACATAACGCCATTTGCAGCAACATGGATGTTCCTGGAGAATGTCATTCTAAGTGAAGTAAGCCAGAAAGAGAAAGAAAAATACCATATGAGATCACTTATATGTGGAATCTAAAAAAAAATAAATAAATAGAAAACAGAAACAGACTGATAGACATAGAACACAAACTTGCAGTTGCCAAGGGGGCAGGGGATGCGAAGGGATAGACTGGGATTTCAAAACGTAGAATAGATAAACAAGAGTATACTGTATAGCACAGGGAAATATATACAAGATCTTATGGTAGCTCACAGTGAAAAAAAAGTGACAATGAATATATATATGTTCATGTATAACTGAAAAATTGTGCTCTACACTGGAATTTGACACAACATTGTAAAATTATTATAAATCAACAAAAAATGTTAAAAAAAAAGTATTTGCCAACCTTAAAGGAAGACAATAACTTTTCCAGAAGTAAGAAAAATGCTTATTTTTATTTTTTCTTTTTTAATTGAAGTATTGTTGATTTACATTATGTTAGTTTCAGGTGTACAGCATAGTGATTCAGTATTTTTATAGATTATATTCCCTTGAAAGTTATTACAAAATAGTGGCTATATTTCCCTGTGCTATAAAATGTATCCTTATTGCTTATCTATTTTATACTTTGTAGTTTGCATCTCTTAATTCCATACCCTGATCTTACCCCTCCTCCCTTTCCTCTTTCATCCCACTGGTAAACCACTAGTTTGTTCTCTGCATCTGTGAGTCTGTTTCTGTTTTGTTACACACATTAGTTTTGTTTTTAAGATTCCACATATAAGTAATAACATAAAGCATTTATCTTTCTGTCTGACTTACTTCACTAAGCATAATACTCCCTAGGTCCATCCACATTGTCGTAAATGACAGAATCTCAAGAATGATTACTTTCAAATTACAGTCACTGGACAAGTGGTCTTGAACTGATCAGACTGAGAAGGTAGCAAATAAGAGTACTTTAAAATGTTTCTTCTAAGTTCAACGTGGAAGACAAGCAGAACGTATTTACCTTCTCAGTGTCTACAATACCAAATGACCACACACTGCACGTTACCTTCACATCTTCAGTACTGGGATGAGGTGGTGTTTTCATCTGAACAATGGTATAAAGTATATCATGGATGTGGTTATTTAGGTACAACACAGGATTAGCTATGACTGTTTTCGTGGCAGCAATACTTGCTGAAAGCAGAGGCAGGGTGGTAGGCAGGGGCAGCGGAGACTGGAGCTGCTTCACTGTCGTTTCCTGTGAGTGACAGATTGTTTTTTTCAAAGCAGTTAAAATGAAGGACAAAAAAAGCAATGAACAGTTACATGATTAAAATACTGGCAGTAAACATCTGAATAAAAGCAGTATGTTGATGTTCTTGTTCATTCATCCTACAAACATTCTCTGTGCACCAGGTACTATGCTGGTTGCAGATGTCAAGATGTGCTTGACAGCTGCACTCAGGCTTTTGGGCTCCTCCTAATTACCAGAATTTCGATCTAAAAAGACCCAAGCAGAGTGTAAATATGGCCTCCTATGAACAGAGGAGCTGACCATATTAAGACTAACTAGTAAAAAGAGCTTAATAGCTATAAATGATGAAAGAGTTACTGTAATAAAATAACCAAGACTGTAAACAAAAGTGAAGTTCATACCTGCTGTGATTCTTGTAGCAAAAACTTGAGTTCCATCCTTACTGAGGCCAGGCCACCGCCCTGGGCCCCATGAAGGCTGCAGTAACTAAGGAACACCCGCAAGAGATCTTGGTTCTTCTGCAACCACGTCTTCCGTCTTTCTGCATGCTCTCGTTTAGCCTGCAGTCTCCGTCTTTCTATCTGGTGCCGTTCGTAGGAACCGATATCTGGTTTGTCCACTATCTCTTGCTGACCCAGGAGATCACTTTCGACTTTGGAATACGCTTTACTGGCATATTCTTTAATAACTGACTCATGATTACAAATCTCATGCAAGGCAGCAATTTCCTTTTCAAGCCAGTTATAGAGTTGAAATCTGAGCTTCCCTCCATCTACTTCATAACCTGTAGCCAGTGTTCTTAGCTCAGTCATAAGGATCTTCAAACAAGCTCTGAATTTTAGCTGTTCAGCAATCACATCAACTTCAGCATCCCCTTCAAGACAATCCTCCTCCTGAGGAGTTGGTAACACATCAGGGTCTGAGGCTTTCAGACCTTCTGGTCTGCCTTTCTCCCTGGCATCCATACTTTTCATTACTAAACCGGCAGCATCTTCGTCTTCTTCTTCTAAGGCACTATCATGCTCTTCACCCCAGTCAAGACGAAGAGGTTCCTCATCAACTTTTACTACCGGCTGACTCCAGTCAAACTGTGATGAGGTTACATCTGACCAATCAATGCCAGAACTCGTATCGCCATCTCTCAGAGGTTTTGATTCTGAAGGTATGTCACCCGTCTTTTTAGAAACGAAGTCAGGCTGATCATTTTTTGAAGGTAAGGCAGATACTTTGGTAACTTTGGGAATTTTGGAGAGTACTTCCAAGGCTAAAACAGGGCATCCAACTTTAAAATGAGCATTTGCTGTGGTAAAGAATAATTTTCTTTCTATGAGGTTAATTTTATCCACAAAGTTCTTCTCCGTTTTGAGGCCTAAGGTTGCCAAAGTTCCTTCAGGGGAAGCAAGGTTTCTCCGAATAAGCAAAGGATGAGTTCGAAGGTAGTTGTAGAAACTAAACACCACTGGGTTACAAGATTTGAAGGTAACTACAGAAATCAAACAGATACAACCACAAGGTATTATTAATTTGTACTTATAAATTAATTTGTACAAAAGAATAAAGTGCGTTGGCATTTCCTCAAAATAAAGGATACTTAAATATTAACCCAGGACTAGTTAAACTGTGTACATCCACGTAATACATCTGAAATAAAAAGAATTTCCCTCTATTATGCTATGGAGTAATATCCAGAATATATAAAGTAAGATAAAATGCAGAAAAGTATATATAGTAAACTACCTTTCATCTAAGAAAGTGAAGAGGGAATACACACACACACACACACACACACACACACACTTCTCTCTCTCACTCTCTCGTATTTTTTAAATGGAAGGAGAACACACAATTTTTTTTAATTGGTTCCCTAAAAAGGGGGGAAAATAGGGTAGAGAGATCAGAAAAGAGGCTAGATTTCTCTGAAAATACCTTGATTTTATGTATATTTCAAAACGATGTCAACATTTTGTATCATTTTAAAAGAAAGTTAATTTTTAAAAATTCACAGAAAAGCAAAAGCAAAATTAAACAAATAATTCTTTGTATCAAATTGGTAGGAAAACCACACAGGGGAACTATGAAGTGACTTTAAAATAAGTAATTTGACTGAATATCAGTCAAAAAAAGGTTAAACTGTTCTCAGTAACCATGTTATGAAAAATATCTGCATCATTATTCTGAAACAATTATATATACAAAAAATAGCACAGAATTATGTTAATGTCACAGGAATCCAAGCTTTTCATTATAAAACATAAATTTGAAATTTCAGGAGAAAGAGCCCTACACTCCGTATTTGAATTAGAAATTTCAATGTCAAAACATGTATCTCGGGGGATTAAAAAAAAATATCCTAGCTCCATTCACTGAAACAGCCTAGAAATGATGACCAAACCTGTAGCAATGAGGATCCCTGTGCCCAGGCTGTGGTCTCTAAAGAAATTATCAAAGAATAATGTCAAGAACATTCAAGAACTTGAAGAGGCTCCCACTGGTTAAAGAGGAGATAATCTGAGCATCCATAATAATAAACTGCAATGGATTAGAACATAAATCCATCTGAATCTGTGAATTCAAGACAATCTTGAAAAAAATAAAAGTTAGTTGGTCACCTTTGTAGGACGCTAGGAAACCTAGCTATTATTTTGAAAACTGGTAAATAAAGAGGAAGAATCAAACATGTGTATTCCCTTTACTACACATACTACTAGGATTCCGAGTAACAGAACAACAGGGACACAATCAGCAAAATCCAAAATTCAAGAAACTACAGGACATTCTGATTTCTTTAACAAATGAATTGGGGTGGTGGGGTTGGTAGGTAAACTAAACATGGATCAAAATAGACATATTACAATATATTTGTATTGTATCATTTGGATCTTGATTCAAACAATTCAACTGTATACGATTTTATGAGACAACCAGGGAAATCTGAACACTGAGTATTTGATTATTAATAAAATTTTGGAAAAAAATTTGCTGTGTATTGTAACAATGGTATGCATTATGTTTTTAAAACAGTCCTTATTTTTTAGAGATACATGTTGCAATATTTACAGATGAAATGATGTGCTGGGTTTGCTTCAAAATAAATCCATACAGGATTGAGAATGGGAGGGGGCGGAAAGGATGGGAATATATACGACACAAGGCTGGTTATGAGTTGATAACTATTGAAACTGGATGACAGACCCACAGACTTTCATTATACTATTCACTCTTCTATGAAATTTCCCCAATAGCAAGCTTTTAAAAGTTACCCTGGAAAACATTAAGAAATAGAGCAAATCTTCCTTCTACAAAAACATACACATTTTATCAGAATTACCTGGGTACCTCAGATACCTATTTTTCTTCTAAAGGTTTTATTTTTTTTCCTTAAAAAAATATAAAAATATTTACAGCAGTCCCTCCTTATCTGCAGTTTCACCTTCTGTGGTTTCAGTTACCTGAGGTCTACTGAGGTCCGGAAGTATTAAACGGAGAATTTCAGAAATAAACAATCCATAAGTTTTAAATTCCAATTTAAAAATAAAAATGAATGAATGAATAAATGAATGAATACATAAACAAATATAAATAAGAATTCTAAAAATTAACAGTGAGTGGTTCTGAATAGCATGATGAAATCCTACA